AGATTTGCAGATAATTTGCAATTAATATCATCTTTATAAAATTAAATTCATAAAAATGATCATAGCAAAATCTGCCTTCAAATAGGACACTTTTCTACCCTTAAAACAATGATTATTTAAAAATGGTTTAACATAAAAAGTTATTTTCACCATAATTCTTTTTAAAATTGAATTCTCTATTAAAATGAGTAGAAAAAATTAGGGGTTGCCTTTTAATTTCTTAAGTTAGGGTAGATTTCTACCCTTTTACATTAGGGTTGAATTTAAATTTTAATCGTAAAAGATGCATTTAATTATTCAATTAGCCTCTAAAAAAAAAAAATATTAAAAAAATCAATAGCGGCTCTAAAAAATCTAAAAACTTTACACCAATAATAGTATAAATACTACACCTTTGTAAGTCATCTACTAAAACATAATATTAACTTTTTATTTTCATTAATTAATACCATATGATTAATTATTGTTAGAGTAATCAGAGATTAAAGTAAATTTTAATAAAGTAAAGAAAAAAAATATTTAGGTATTCATCAATACTTTATTACAAAGTTATAAAAAAAAATTACATTTATTAATCAATAATTATTTCAACATTTTCAAAAATTAAAAAAAAGAAATACGATATAAATAAGCTTTTTTATATGAACCATTTAAATAATTGATCATCACAATAATGACATTTGAATTGTGATGGAAAATTGAAAATTAAATAGTACATGCTATTCTGATTAATGGATATTTGATCTTTAATATATTTTATTGTAAAGCTATCTTGATCATACGCCATATCACGTATGCAATCATCAGTTGTGCATATGGAGTACATAATTTCATTATTTACATTATGTGATAATATAGAAAAAAAATTGAACTTCAAATAATTTTTTTGCCCAAACAATAAATTGTATACGCCTGAACGGATTTCAGATTTATAAATTTCACAGTCACTTCTAATCATATCTAACGTCACGGGAGTTTTTAATGCATCTTCAAATTTAATGCCTTTCTCAGACACCGTAAAATTTCTTGATTCGTACAAAATGTCTGCCAATACAGGGTGATTTTTTTATCATAAACCACTCTATTACTTACAGAATAATAATAATTAAAAATTTTTTTTTTATTATTATCTTTAGTTACACATCATTCTTGAACTATTAACTATGTAATACTTTTTAAGTTCATCCCTTATGCCTGGTAAAAGTGTCAACTTTGTTTTTTTAAATGGTAACACATATTTTTAATTTAATAAAATGTTTGAGTTTTTAATTCAATAGTAAATAGCATTTGAATTTTTAATAAAACTTAATTTGTTTATTAGATATAAACATTTAAAGTTTCAAATTTTTGAGTTAATATATAGGTATAATACACAAGGGATTACAAATACAGGTAGCTAATTGGTTTTTTATGATATTGCTATCACAGTCACGGATTGTTTATAATCAATTATGACTATCAATAGATATACTTTCTGTATTGTAAGTTAGTATATTTATTAACTCATAACAGTGTGCCTTACTATCATTGATAATAACAATACTGTGTACCTGCTAATATCGATATCATCAAAAATCAATTAGCTACCTGTATATGTAATCCATTGTGTATTATACTTATATATTAACTCAAAAATTTGAAACTTTAANACTAGTTTATCTTTAACAAAAGTATAACCAATTATTTAAAATTGATTATTTGTACCCGTTAGTGATGGACTTTTAAAAGTGTATTGATTTATGTCGAATTAAAAATATGAATCGATACTCATAATGAACAAATAATATCGATTTTCCTTATAGAGCAGCGGTTCTCAAACTTTTTATAGTCACGTACCATCTACACAATTTGAAAATGTTTACATACCACCTGACCATTTTTTTGCTTATTAATAATGTATACGTTAATGTTATATGTATAGAATTTTATTTCATTAGGAATTACAAAATTAGATAATATAAAATATAAATATGTATAATAAACTAATAAAGTATTTAATCTTAATGCACAAAAAGAAATTAAAATAAATCAAATTAAATATGTAAAATTATTATTATTGTTATGGTTTACTTTTTTCTTCAATGAGACGATTGGTGTTGTTTTGAACGGACGATGACGTCAGTATCGGGCTCCAAATTGGTAACTTTAAGTCGTAATCATTTTCTACGTTTAATCTACTTCTATATTTATTTTTTGTGTACAATAAGTGAGAAAATGTATTTTCGCACAAATATGTTGATATAAAAGGGATTAGAAACTGTTAAGCTTGTGTGGACAATGCCGAGTATTCTTGTTTAACGTCCAGCCAAATATTAATGATATTTTTGGTTTTGAAAGCGGTTTTTAGAGTAGAGTCACTGGTTAAGTCAATAAATAATTCTTTTGCCAAATTACTATCTGGAATGTTCTTAATATAATCATCTTCGAAAGGGTTTATGATCCATTTAATTTCTGAATAATCCTCAGGAAAATATTGTAAAATAATGGATTTTAGTAATTATAGGTGTTCCGAAATGTTTGTAATTATATTTGAATTTGACTGAATTTCGTTATTTTTCCAAAATGTGTTTAGTGTCTTGAATGCTGAAAGATCATTCTTAGATACTTGTGAAATAAATAAATTCAACTTTTTCACAAATGCATTAACTTTATCACTAGCATAAAACATGTTTGTGTTTGATCCTTGCAGACTTAAATTTAAAAAACCCAGCACAGTGGGGTCGCGGCATAGTGGGGATGTTGCATAGTTGGGTCCAGTATAGATTTAATCTGACAGTGATTAAAATCACTATCATAAGAAACGCTTCGATGCAAATCAGTAGATAGTGTTTAATTCTAAGAAATTGGTGGATAATTACAAAAGCTACATTATCTGCTAGTTTCTTATTAATACCCTGATTAAGATAAAGTATGTCGAATGAAAAAGGGATTATTAAAAAATATTATTTCTCATAAAAAAATTGTGTTGATTCGTACACTTTTCAATGAGTTATAGCATTATAAAGTTAAAAATGTAACCAACCCAACCCAACATCAACTCCTATTTCCTTAATTATATCCAGATTAGTAATTATTTTAATTATATATTATATAATTTTTATAATTAATTATTTTCAAATTATTATTGATTTTTAATATGTTAAAAGTAATCATTTTGAACCTACTTCTTTTTGTTCTTTAAAGTGAAAGTTTTAATAAAAAAAAAATGAATTTATTACCATAACTTTTAACTCAACTTGCAAGTTTGAAATAAATATTATTAAATAGAAAAAAAT